TCACACTGAAGTGCCACTAAGCTTTGCGAATCTGCCCTCATTAGCCCCACAAGTCCTCTGAGACGAGCACGAGTTTGTTTCACCGGTCGTTTTGATGAAACACTTGTGATAATGAAATTAATTTCTGCATGGGAAATGTGTGTGTGTGTGTGTTCAAGGGAAGTGTCTGTCATCAGCGTGACAGAAGAATCTGAAGGGTTTTTAAAGAAATACATAAAATTTGTGCTAATGGTGTTATTTCCTCATTCAGGGGGAGTGTTAAAAATAAAACACAAACCAACAATGTTTTGGTACCACTTTTTAAAAATGGCTATTTCATAAAATATTTATTATAGAGCTATAAATAGGTCAAATATTAAAGTACCTTCAAAAAGGCATTTGTACACTTACCACAACAAGTTTAAAATATGTTGTTTTTTTTGTAACAATCCTTCTTTAAATCTTATACAGTCCATGTTTATTATTTCTGCTTAAATGGTGTTGCATGTGTTAGAAAAAAAATATTTGTGGGTTGAGCAACAGAGTTGAGTCTGAGAGCTGCATTGCCAAACAGCTGATTTTCTTTGGATTGGATGACTGAAGTTTGAAGAAAGAAGACATGTTGCCATTTGAACACCTGTGGGATCAGCTCAGGTGTGCTGTTGGTTCCAAAGTGACCACATTTTGTGTGACAAATACAGAATGAGGAGACGGTGACAGGATATTGTGGTTGTGTATGGTTCTTCCACATGCTTCTGAGGGCCCTGTTTGCAGTGTTGTAGTACTTGAGGCAGGTTTTGAGATCACTTTTTGATGGTCATTTGGTCTTTTTGGTGTTCCTCCCGTTCGATCTGAAGCAGGCAGTTTGATTTGAGCTGTGCTCAGTCTGCACCTCCTCTGAGACGAAATGTTTTGCTTAGGGACTGTCAACAAATTACCGAACCAAACACTCTTCAGAAACAAAAATTAATATATTCATTTGACCCACTGACACAAAGCTAATGTTAAACTACTCTAATAGACCTGACACACAAGACACCATCATTTATTTCTCATTTTAAAGCATTTTCTAATTAGTTATTGAGCGAAAACCATGATTTTTGAACAAATAAATTATGCAAAATTAGAAAATGCTTTAAAATGTGAAATAAATGAGGGTGCCTCGTCTGTCAGGTCTAGTAGACTAGTTTAACGTAAGTTTTGTGTCAGTGGGTCACATGACATGAACATTATTGTGCAGAAACCACTGAATGTCTGATTTCTTTATGTAGCTTTGAAAATTTATAACAGCTCATTCAAAAGCAAACTTAAAATTGCAGTATGTTACTTTTATAAAAAATATATTGTGATAAAAGTAACATTTTTATATGGGCAGCACGGTGGCGCAACTGGTAGAGCTGCTGCCTCTCAGCGAGCAGGTCCCTGGTTCAAACCCCGGTCCAGGGGCCTTTCTGGGTGGAGTTTGCATGTTCTTCTGGTGCATGCGTGGGTTTTCTCCGGGTACTCCGGTTTCCTCCCACAGTCCAAAAACATGCATGTTAGGCTGATTGGTAACTCTAAATTGTCCCTAGGTGTGAGTGAGAGAGTGAATGGTTGTTTGTCTTGTTTGTCTCTATGTGTCCCTGTGATGGACTTGCGACCTGTCCAGGGTGTATCCCCCGCCCCTCGCACAGTGATTGCTGGACATGGGCTCCAGCGACCCCCATGACCCAAAATGGAATAAGCGGGTAAAGAAAATGGATGGATGGATGTCACTATGTCATGACAATATAAGACAGATAATCTGTGAAAAGATTGATCTTCAAGACGAGGTCTTGGTCTCGACTTGGTGTTGGACCCTAACAGTCTTGGTCTTGACTTGGCCTCGGATTAGGTGGTCTCGACTACAACTCTGCCTGTTTGTTAAATAAATAAACTGTTAAACAGGAGTGAGGTTAGGACTTCAGATCATTCCATTATTTTCACTCTCAGGTTCTGCAGGTGGCTAGCCTTTTTCTACTTTGACTTTTACCTTTTGGCTAGCATTTAGCTAGTTTTAGCTTTTAGCTAGTATTGGGGTTGGGGTTAGTAGTCAACTAAGTTCAGCTTCTTTCATCTTTTAGCTAGTGTTGAATACTTTTCTCTTAGCTAGTGTTTTACTCCCTTTAGCTTTCACCTCTAGTGTTCTGCTCCTCTGCACTTAGCTGGCGTGCTGATTTTTTCAGCAAGTTTTAGCTTTTAGAGTTCTACAGTTTTTAGCTTTTACCATTTTCAGTTAGTGCTCTGATTGTTTTAGCTTTAAAAACTTTTAGTTTCTTCAGCAAATCTCAGCAGTCATTCGGCTCTCAGCATTTACGCATGATTTTCGGAAGAAATGCATTTTTCTCTGTTGTTTTGCTCTATTTGTTTTACTTCTTGTTTTTCTTTTACCAGGGGTGCCCAAAGTGAGGCCCGCGGGCCAAAGTTGGCCCACCAAGCCATTTCAGTTGGTCCGCCAAGCTCTCCTCACTTTATTAAAATTTCCTTTAAAGAATCAACGTGCTTACACTCATTGATTCCACCCATTGACTTTATTGTTAGTCGGCCCGACTACCATAATTTAACTACACGGATTACACAGTCGGATTACACAGTAGCGTAGAAAATGTATGTATTTTTAAAATAATTTTAATAATTTATATTTTTATATTTTATTTTGACAGACTTTCTACCATCACTCGTCAGCTTCCTGCCACTGAATACCATTTTCCTTTGACAGAACACACATATATCACACAAAGTGTTTAAAAGTAAATTATAAATATGTACTGGTTTCAGTGGTGATTTTAACCTCTTTAAATTTAAACTCAGCACCCCCAAAAAATAAAGAAACCATCATTAGGATTGTGTAAGGAAACAGTTCTTAAACCTTAGAATCACCTAAATATTGAATACACATGGAATAAATGACGACAGTCTCAAACAGGCCAATAAAATCTATGTTTTTTTTGCACAAGGTCTGTCATCTGTCAATCAATCCAGTAAGCAAATCAGCAACTGACCAATCAGCAACTGACCAATCAGCAACTTCGATTTGTCCTGAAGTGGACACCTCTTACCTGCAGAGCTGCAGCTGTGTTGCATGAACGCTTTGCAGTCAGAGACATTTCAATAATAACAGAGTTTACCTCTTTTGTTTCATGTTAATCTACTGTAATAAACCTTTGTAAAATACACCAGAATGCAGGAAATGGCATCTACTTTAATCAAAATTCCCTGAGGGAGGACCCCCAGAACCCCCGCCCCCACCATCACCAGCACAGTTTGTTCTGAAATGTTCTTTATACAGAACTGAAGGTTAAATAACTGTATAATAAATAAATGACTTTACTTAAATAAGTATTTGCATTTCATGTATTATGGCATTTGGCCCGCAGCCCTCTGATAGATTTTAAATCTGGCCCTCTCAGGGAAAAAGTTTGGGCACCCCTGTTTTAGACGCTGTAGTGTTTTCTTTTGTTGTTGTTGTTTTGTCACATTTTGTTTTCTCTTTGTGTTTTGAGAAATGCTGTGATTGGTTCTCACCGTCAGATTATAATCCCATCTAGCGCGCGACCTTAAAAGGCGGTATTAGTATTTTCCTTTTAATTTCTTAGAAACGTTGGCTTCGTGCGCGCTGTCCAAGGTGCTGCAGCAGCGCGCGGCCCCGCCCATCCTCTCTCTCCCTCACGTTCACACTTTCTCTCCCTTGCGACCACGTGACTCACCCTCTGCCGAGTCTGCCGCGAGAGCTTCAGACTGCACCTTTTCCTCCTTAGGAAAACCGAGGGGAAAGAGAGAGAGACAGACAGACAGACAGAGAGAGAGAGAGGGAGTGAGCGCGAGAGGGAAAACAGCCCCTTCGTGTCGCCTTCACGTGAACCTCGGTGATAGTTGAGTTCCGGTTCTGAGCGCTCCCTCCCTTGTCTCGCGGACTCAACGTTCACCTCAGATGGGAAGGGAAATCGATGTGCCGCGCGCGGCACAGTTGCCAAAGAGAACCACAGGATGCGCGCGAGGTAGGTCGGCTTTTTGCTTTGATAAGAACAGGGAGGAAAATAAAAGACAGCGAGTTGCTGCTATGTCCGTTTACAACGCTGTCTTTAAAAAAAAGTATCGCCAAGCTGAAGTTAACGGACTCGCGTTTTGTCAACTGTCAGCGAGGAAGGGCGGGAGGGAGGGAAAGGGGGGGGGGAGGTACGGCAACAAATCGAGAATCGATAATTCAACCGCATTCATTCACCTTGTCTATCAATAGTCATGTCGCCGCTTTTCGCCTTTTGAAACCACTCTGAGGAGAGTGCGCGCGTGCGCGTCCAACCGTGCGCGCACCGTATTCGCAGTCTTTGTGTGCGCGCGTGCGTGCTTGTGTGTAAATGTGTTAGAAATCAGGCTCCGGAGCCGTTAATTCGATAAAGCGCGGCTCTTTGAGTCATCCGCCGCAGCGCGCGCGGAGCTGCTCGCGTCCTCACTGTGATGGAGCCGACAGAAGCCCCTCCACCGCCACGCGACGTGGCTATATTTAAATTTAGTGTTAAAAAAATAATAATAATAAGTTAATTTAGTAGACTCTGGGAATCATGGAGGGATTGTGAGGAGGTTGCAGGTATGCCACCTGAAAATCTCCTGCGGCATTATGGGTGCTCTATTGTGATGGTGTTTGTGTGCGCGCGCATGCTCACATTGTGTGTGCTTGGCCATCGCTATAACATAATGTGGGGCTGTGTGTGTGTGGTAGAAGTACTGTTTATAGTGTGTTTTTATACAATGTGATGTTTCTGTGCAAAAAGTCCACGAGGAATTTGAGATCAGGCTCAGCTTGAGTGTGTGTGTGTGCGCGTGTGTGTTGACCCTGGTTGATTGTGCCTTCTCTGTTCTCTCTGTAGGTCGCTGGAGAGAGTGATGACGGCAGTGAAAGACACACATACCTCAACTGCTTGCACACACTCACACACATATTTGCCCACACACACTTTAAGTCTTGCCCTACTAAGATAGAGAGGAGGGGGGGCGGCGGGGGGTGGGGGGAGAAAATACTGCTATGACGGTGTCATTTCTCTCCATTACCTGTGTGTAAGCTGCACACACACACACATGTATAGCTACTGGAACTCCGTTGGGAGTTGCCTGCATGGGGGATAAGGCCCTATCTAGGACACAAAGATGGAGTTTGCACCCAATTTGTCTCACGTCTAACACACAAACACACACACCTGGAGTCTCGTGTTTGAAGCGAGGGATGAAAGAACGAACGGAGAGGAGACACTAAACATCAGACAAACACCAAGGCAGGGCGGAAGAAGATGTTCAAAGGGTGCTGAGGGGACGGAGGTTTGACACCTCCACCCATTCCCATCCCTGGAGCTCCATCCGATCTGACCCCTCCCTTCAAACAGGCAGTACTAAGACAGACGAGTTCCTCTGAGACGCCTACAAAGTGTTCTACAAAGAGCCCTACAGTCGCCACCATGAGCTGTAGGCCAGAGGAAACACCCCAGCTCTAGCCTCTATCTTTTTCTGTGTGTGTGTGAGTGTGAGAGCGAGTGTGTGCATGAGTGTAATGGCGGTTTGCGTTTGGGCGGCAGCCCCGCTGCTCTTCTTGGGGCTGTGCCTATGCAGCGTAGGGGGCCAGGCCCAAGGAGAGGTCCTGGAGTTTGGGGGTGTATCCAGCCAGTGGGGGCGGTTTCCCGTGTGGAATGCCTGCTGCGAGAGTGTGCTGAGTTTCAGTCTGCGGACTCACAGCCAGGAGGGCCTGCTGCTCTACCTGGATGATGAGGGTTTCTGTGACTTCCTGGAGCTGCTGCTTCTCCACGGCCACCTCCGCCTCCGCTTCTCCATCTTCTGTGCTGAGCCAGCTGAGCTGCAGTCAGGCGTGGCAGTGAGCGATGGACGATGGCACGCGGTGCGTGTCAAGCGGGACTGGAGAAACACCTCGCTGGAGGTGGACGGGCGACTGGAGGGATGGGCAGAAGTAAAGAGTAAGAGAAGAGACATGACAGTATTTAGTCACACATACATAGGTGGGTTGTCGTCGGAGCTCCACTCTTCGCCTCTACGCCTCACCTCCCCCTCGGTGCGGGAACACGCCGCCTTCCGTGGCTGGATCACGTCGGTGAGCATCAATGGCTCGGTGGTGATGCTGGACGGCTCAGAGGGCATCACAGTAACAGCTGGCTGTGGGACAGACCACCAGTGCCAGAATGGAGGGGTGTGCAGCGTGGTCAACGACCGGGCCGTCTGCGACTGCTCCGACACCGGCTACCAAGGCAATGACTGCAGCGAAGGTAAGACCTAAAATCATGCTGACCCATCAAATACATCCCATCGTTTACTGACATACTGACACCTTTGAACACATACAACTACATCAACACCTCAACCCTTAACACCAAATCTAAACCTCAGACTTCAAACGCATTGGCTCTGCTACAGAAGCATATTTTTCATTCACACCTTTACATCTCTCTACTTGGCATCTCTGGATCAGCAGCCTTCACAAAAAGTGCAAAGCAGGCATACAGATTATGGTTGATATTGATTTTTGAGCCTGCAAACGACTAAAATCCAAACAAATGGACCCCCACCCCCCCAAAAGGAAAAACAGCTAGCTTAAAGAAGCTGGAGCTCAGATGTGGAAAAACAAGCAAGCTTATGAATCAGCAGATTGAGTACAAATCTGAGACTCACTGAAAGATCTTACCTGGTTGGCAAGCTTTAAAGGGCACAGTTGGTGCCAGGATATAGATCCTTTATGGATGTGGGGGTTGTGTTGAGAAACTGATTGGAACGGGGTGAAGAGGCTGGAAATCAGCGGTTGTTACATGGCTGACACCTGGCTGCCTGTGGTAATGGATGCAGATTGATTCTAGATGGCCTTCAGAGCTGCTGTGCATAGGATGCTGAAATGATGTGTGCAGAATCTATCACCTGCCATTAATTTTAACGGCCTTTTGAGGATGTTTGTGTTTGCTTTTGTGTAGTGTGGTAATGTGTCAGTGCTCTTACTAAGAAAAGAAATAATGTCCAATAGGTGCTTTATAAAAGAAGTGTAACACACAGTGAAAAATGCATTTCAGTACGTACACCCCATATGAAAAGTCTCCTTTAATTCTGCCAAACAAGCTTTTGGTCAGTGCAAGTGCCAATGCGCGGGGCATTGCAATTATGGCCATTACAAAGCTAAACAGTTGCTTAATGAACTCAGCTATCCAGTTATGGCCACTGCAAAATGCTTTCATTTCCTCCCCCTGCTAAGTTGCGCGTGTCGTCAGATTTGCACGAGTTCATTCCGAGCAAATCTGCATTCTTAATCAATAGCTCTCTAAACTGCTGTACGCCGAAGATACCTTTCAGCTCTGCCCGAGCGATTGATTTAATTTTTTCTTTTTCTTTTTTAATGACACAAATGCATCTGCCAGAAATGACTGGGTGGCCTTGCCGTTCACCGCCGTCAGCATCACATACATCCCTTTTAGCCACCCACCGCATCACACCTTAACATTAAGTGGACAGTGGGACGGCCCGGGTTGCCATGGAGACAGGATTAATAAGGAGACCTCATGCCAGGAGTGCCTCTTCATCATTGTTTTTCCTCTTTGCTACCTGCAGCTGGTCTTCTCTGTGATATCAGGCATCATATCTGCCACCCAAAGCTGCTGTTTTTAAACGCCTGAGCTTCATCCTAGCGTTTATGTTCCAAGTAGAAAGCATCCATCTTTTCCAAGCAGCTGGGAAGGTACTGGTGCGTTATGTTCACACGTGCTGAAATAATGAATCCATCGAGAGAGAATTAATAAATCACGCACCAACAATTAGTCAACTAGATTTTCTGGAGGAAATTAATCTAAAAGTAGCTTGATCATTAACTTCCAGAGAGACAAAGCCCTCTCACTTTTAGTCCTTGAATCTCAAATTATGTGCACTGATGCTTTTTTTTTTTTTGGTCGTACATAAAATATAAGGAGATTTACAAAGAGCTTAACATGTTAAATAAAAACCATCTGCAAAATAAATAATCACATAAGTGGCTTTTAGTTCTGCTTTCCATTTAATCAATTTGCAAAGCAAAAATGTAAAATATTTGCTGCTTAAGCGATGAAAATAGTGTAAACTGAAAATCTTGTCTGATTATTGGACAGCGTTTCAAAGATTTCACCAAGTTCTCAGATAAATAGTAAGGGGAATATTTGATTATTTAGCTCCATTTATTAGTTATAAAATAGAAGACAGGGGTATCTGTGTAAAAGTTACTGTCATTATTGCAGCTCAGGCACTTTGGCTGCATGTAAGTACAGAAAGTGACAAGTTAAGCTCTGCAGAGGCTCCATGCTGCACTGAGAATTACAGTATATCTGATCCAAGCCAGCCTAATCCAGTCTGCTGTTCTGCTGATGTTCAGTGCGCATGGGGAGGCACACACACCTGTACAAATATGTGACACAAACATACAAACACATGCAGGAAACACATTCATGAGATGCGTGAGCTGCAGGACCATTGCTATTCACATCACTGCTGAGTTACCTGACAGCAGGGCAGCTCTTCAAGCTAAATAAGAGACAGACATTTCTCATAAAGGCTCTCAGCAGATTCATTGCCTACATTGCTCTGGCACTTGTCACTCAATGAGAGACTGCTTGTATCTCTGAAGTGGAAGATATATGTTACAGGAAATGGGCTCATATATTACCTGTAAGTGTTTTAGGCAACAATGGTACAGTGATTTTCCTCTCTTGGCAGTAGTGTCTGGTATAGCTAACAGATGGCTTCTAAAATAGCTAAAGCTAAAAGGTTTACTTCGAGCAAAGGGAGCGATATTAAGTAAAATCACATAGCTTTCTTTATTAGAATAAACTGATACTTGTGTAATTTCCTGAATAAAGTAGGACAAAAATAAACATCATGTAGAGCTATACTTGGGTTGGCTTTTGAGTTTGAGTGGAGGCGAATTATGTACTTTCAGGAAGTGCAGTTCAGAGATGGGTGATATTACAAAAATATCATATCACAACTTTTTTTTTTTACATGACCATGACTTTTACTGTTTTACTGAACATCGCAACCAAACCTTTTGCAAAAATATAACTACTGTACATACTGTCACATTTATATATAGAGAGAGTGATAATGGTAAGCCATCCACCATTTATGAACAGAATATCATTAGTTTGTGCAATTTTATCAAGTTGTTTTAGACATATAAATTTAAAAATTACAATTTATTTCATAGATACTATGCACAACATAGTATAAAACTATTGTGTATATATATTTATGTCTTTTTTGACACATTGACGAGGACGATGATGTTGTGTTTTTTCACAATGACTTTTTAATTATATTTTGTTTTCCACCAGACGTTTTGCTAGACACCGTTCAGCTTGACTGAGAACGTACACAAAGCTGCCTAAAGCATTTGGAGGTCAACTGAAATTAGATTTTCTGTTGCTTATACCAATGTTAATCTTTAAAGACAGGGCAGCCGAAGGTGAACATACAACACTGATTTTTAAGAAAAACAAAATTTTGATATAGATGTTTTTTAATCTAACTAAAAATATTACTCAACTTAAATGAAATATCAAATATTTAACAACCCTTAGAAAAACTTGAACACTTAAAAATAAAATATAGACCAGCACATTTGCTTAAAAAACATTAAATATGGGATTTTTTCATAAAGTTATTATTTGCCAATTAAAATCATTAGCTGGTTAATCTGTCTAACTCTAATTTTATTTATTTGTTTGTTCATGTAAAAAAAAAAGCTTAATCCTCACATACAGCTACAAAGTCTAAAATACATTCACATCACGTTTCTGCTAATGTGTTTGCCTGTGGATGAGTTATCTGAAATAAAAGGCTAATATTAGCTCGAGTCAGCTGAAGGGACAAGCTAACATAAGGTGGCATTAGCTGAAGTGATGGGCTAGCATAACATGAAGTTATCTAAAGTAGACTGTGTTAGCTTAAGTTATCTAAATTGATAAGCTAACGATAGCTTAAGCTAGCTGAAGTGACAGGCTATAAGCTGAAGTTATCTAAAATGATAGGCTATATTAGCTTGCTTCATCTAAACTGATAAGTTCAATTAGCCAAAGTTAGTTGAAGTGATAGGCTAACATAAGTTTAAGTTAGCTGAAGTGATAGGTTAACATAGACTGAAGTTATCTAAAATGATAGGCTACATTAGCTTGTGTTATCTAAATTGCTAAGTTAATATTAGCTAAAGTTAGTTGAAGCGATAGACTAACCTTAGCTTAAGGTAGCTGAAGTGATAGGTTAACATAGGCTAAAGTTATCTAAATTTAAATTGATGAGCTAATGTTAGCTTAAGCTAGCTTAAGTGAAAGGTTAACATAGACTAAAGTTATCTAAAATGATAGGCTCCATTAGCTTAAGTTATCTTTGATAGGCAGTCATTAGTTGAAGTTAGTGGAAGTGATATAGTAATGTTAGCGTACTCCACTCTTATGTATAACTGGTTATTTTCAATTCATTTAGTATAGCGCTAAGTAACAACAGAAATCATCTCAGGGCACTGAATATATATATATATATATATATATATATACATATATATATAATAAGTTAACACTATCTGAGGAGCAGACTGCTTTGACTCCATCGCAGAACTCTCATCTTGAGCAAGCATGAGGGCAGTGGAAAGGAAAGTGATCATCTGATTCGACCAGCTGGGTTTGAAAGGAACAGGAAAGAGGAACAGATACACAATGGCAGGTTGAAAATCACATGTTAAGATAGAAATAGTATCAAATGAAATCTATTCAATTTTAACAGTTCATTTAAGGAAATTAGGTCAATTTGTCCTCCAGTAGTCTAAGCCTCTGGCAGCATGACAAGCCAACCCTAACTATAGGATTTATCAAAAAGGAAAGTCTTCAGCCCAGTCTTAAAACTGGAAAATGTGTCAGCCTTACAGACAGAAACTGGAAGTTGGTTCCACAAGAGAGGAGCCTGATAAATGAAGGATCTTCCTCCCATTCTGCTTTTGGAAACTCTAGGAACCACAAGTAAGCCTGCAGTCTGAGTGCCAAGTGCTCTGTTAGGAAAATATGGAACAATAAGATCTCGAATATAAGATGGAGCTAGGTTGTTGAGGGCTTTGTAGGTTAGAATTTAAGATTTTGAATTCAATTATGAATTTGCCAGAGAGCCAATGGAGAGAAGCTAAAACTGGAGAGATATGATCTCTCCTACTAACTCCAGTTAAGACTCTGGCAGCAGCAATTTGGATCAACTGAAGACTTTTTAAAGAAGTATTTGGACACCAGATAAACCATTGCAATAGTCCAGTCTAGACGTGACAAATGCATGAACCAGTTTTTCTGCATCATTTTTAAACAAGATGTTTCTAATTTTAGCAATATTATGTAGGTTATTTGAGAAGTTACACAGTTTCTTGCACTTTCAGTAATGTGCCACCAAATTTCACTCATTGATAACATTAAGACATTCTTCTGCTATAAATTTCATTAGTTTTAAATGTACACATTTTCATTAACTTACTATTTTTTTTTCTGATTCACAGAAATCTTGTGTGTCCAAATATATAGAATCTGCTCTGTAGAAGATCCTATGATTTCTCTGCTTTGGCAGATTGTCAACCCTTTCTGATCCATCCCAATCTAATACCGTCCTATCACCCCCTCTTAGTGTTTCTGTATTTTATCTTATTCACATTTTAGACAAAAATAACACTTTCTGTTTGGTTTTGCAGTAAAATGAAGGAACTTGTGATATACTCAGTGGTTGGTTTGGAAATGGTAACTCAAGCCTTCGACATTTACTTACTGTTGGTGAAGGTAACCGAATCATTGAGCTATTCCACTGAACCGGCAGCTTTAGGAGCCATTTAACAAAAAGATACACCTTAAAGAACAAGAGTGCAATATTGTTTTCAGAGTAGTTTCAGTTCCTCCGGTCCTCTCTGATTCATGTTTCTCATTTTCTCCAAATTGTTTAGAGATATAGATAGCTCTGAGAGGAGAGCTGAGGAGATGATGCATTTTTGTGGATGGTTTCAATTGTGCTTTGAAGGGCTTTTTGTGGTCTGAAATGTTTTTTTAATCCGGTCCTATATGATGTTCATTTTGGTCTGCCAAGATGCTGCCACGGTGGTATGCATTCAGTCGCAGGATCTTTAGGCTGAAGTGAATAACCATCACCAACTTTCAGCATGTCAAATAAAACCCCAGTTTAGGCACAGTGAAGTGTTTTAGAGAAGCCGTTTCAAAAGTCATAGGAGAGAAAAAGCAGCTGTCGATGAGAGCAAAGCATAAGGACTCAGATAAATAAAAAACATGTTATTTTATAAAATTTTAAGATAAATTTGTTTTTCTGAAAATCAGGGGAAGTAAATCCTTTAATTATAGGGTTGAGTTTAAAACAATGGATTCATTGGACCACGTTTGAAAACAGAAATTAGCAATTTGGCTTTGGTAGTTAACAACCTTCACTATGTTTTAAGGCTCCCTGTAGATTAATTTTATTTGTGCTCATAGTTTTGCAGATTTAAAACGTAAAATTGTCTGCAACGTCATGTTGTTCAATGTCTTCTCCTAAGAGACTGCAGCACAATACATATTTTATCCAAGTTTGCAGAAGGCACTATTGAGGTTTTTCTTCTTTAAAGCACATCAGATTGATCTTTTTGGAAAAACATTTAAACTTGAGATGTTCAGCACCTTTAGATGTAAGTGAAGACGTTGGAGCAGGTCTATGCATGAATATAATTACTGTCGGAGGCTTTTTGCCCCACAGCAAAAGCACAACGGACCTGGGCTTGTTAAGCCTGGCCTGGCTTGCATTGTCCTTGAGGGCAAACCACTGTTAGCATGCTAATGGCTCCACCTGTTTCTGCCATGCTACTAGCGCAAGGGCAGAGGCAAGGAAACACTCAGATACACACACCTCCACACACTTCCGTATGCACACAAACACAGACATGCACACTCAGAACCCAGCACTGACTCATGCATGCCCCTCGTTCTTTTTTGCACTGCTAATCCATCCCTACATGTTTACCCTGCTATTTCACATCATTATTACTGCCATAGTCAACGTTGGTGTGTTTGTGTGAAAGGCAGTGAGCGTGTAAGAGAGAGCGTGACAGAGACTGTGTACGGGTGTGTGTGTGTGTGTTGCATGCTATCTGTCGGGGTGCTCTGGGGAGAGGAAGCAGCTACAAGGTAAGTTGTGGGGTAAACGGCTCTTGAATCCAAATTTACAGGTAGGAATGTATATTAATGCCAACAACTCCCTCCCCCTACCCTCTATTATCCAACCTCTCTTCCTACAAATGTGGGTGCTTGTTTGCGCTTACGTGTACACAGATTTAAAAAAAAATTAAAAAAGAATTGTGCATTTCTTTAATGTGGCTTTGTGTCTAGAAACAAACCTCAGTTTTGGCTACCAGTGCAGCATGGTATCCATTGTGACGTTTGTGTCGACTTGCATGTCTGATTCCACGGTAACCCTGGACGAGTGTGCATGTACAGTAAGTAGCCATGGCGACCCTTGGGCTGAGCATGCATGTTAATGAATGTTTGTCTTTCTCTTTCTTCGCCTGGCTGCGGCACCTTTCCAGAGCACAGCTACACTCCAGGTACGTCAAATTATCTATCTACCTATCTATCTTTCTTCCATCTTCCTTTCCATCTTTCTCTCCTTATAAAAATAAATTCTAATGCACAAATGTTTGCCTATTTTCCATCTTTGTCACGTCTCAGCTATATTTTTCCATTCTTCTTTCTTGCCTTTGTTGCTCGATACATCTTCTAATGTACACATCTAGCTGGACTAGATAGCCAGGGTCCAAGTTAGTCAGCTTAAGCTGGTCTGTGTGGGTATGTAGAGGTTGGTTGCTGATTCCTGGTAAGTACTATAATTCTCGTGCAATCATCTTAAGTGGCCCTTGCCTCAAGGTTACGTAGACATAGACATATAATTACCGTACGGTGGACAATCTAGTCCGTAGCTGTGTGCAAACATCTTTGTTACAAACTTGTTTGTGCATAGGATAAGTAAGTGCCCTTTGAGTGGACTTATTCTTATAATTTAGATGACTCGCATACACTGAAACCCCACTGAAGAACTAGCCTCCACCAGCATGTCACTGTCAAGCTCCTGCATCATGAAAACACATCAGTGCATACACACACTTCACGCCCCATGATCCTTTTGATGTGCTGACTGTGCTCTTGTCTTCCTTCAAGGTCTTGCACACCTGATGATTGGCGACCAAGGTATGGCCTTCTTTTTCTCCTCACTTCCTGTTGTCCTTCACTCTACCATCATGCCCCCTACATCCTCCTCACTCCCTCACACTCACAAACCTCTCACCTCTCACCTCATCAACATGTGGTGCGCAAGGAAGTTGTTTCTCTAGGCACAGAACTAAGGTCAGTGTTTTCTGACGTGTTGAACGAGCTCATTTGGTTTAACCACAAAAAAAAAGACAATTTTAAGATAAGATTGATGAACCTGAGAGCAACTTTCACACATATATATGTGTATATAATAATATATACATGTGTATGGATCATGGCTGATGATGTAAGAGGGACTAACTGGAGGATGATTGATGGCGCTTGGCTGGAATCAACTTGGCAGAGCTCCAGGTCATGGTAATAGACCTAAGGAACATGTGACCCCCTCCTGCTCCCCCCATGGATGGTTTGATTTGGTTTTTACTCTTCCTTCCATCTCCCCTTTTCCATAAATTGGAGTTTGATTGGAAGAATGTGAGCTGAGTGAGTGTGCATAGTCTTTTAAAGACGTATGCACAAGTGCTTTTACGTCAGGTAACGACTGTGGCTGTGAATCCCCCACCCCACACACACACACACAGCTGTTCATCAGCTTCCAGCATGCCTCGTTTTCGCCGTTGCTCAAATGGGCTCCCGATCATACGCCGGCGACCGCATGTAATCCTGAACAGATGTTCCTGTTGTGTATAAAAGCAATGTTGTCACACCTCAAGCTCTACTTAGTCCATTGTTTTTGAAAACAGCCCAAAAACAAGTGGCACCACTGGTCTGCTTTTAGAAAAAAAAAATGTTCAGTGATAATTACCCAAAACTTACAGTGCCACCGTTCTTTGTTCTTTCCTTCTTTGTTGCTGCCCTCTTTCTCACTGTTTGGGACGCCACCCTCTGTGATTTTAGGAAAACTCAGAGGTACCTTCCCATGATTTATTTATGTGTTTGGCTACTGGGCTGTTTTGGATGGTGAAGAGGTTAGTGAATGTGTTGACAGGCTTTAGAGCTCTTCAGCTTCATTTTTTTTTTTTTCTCATTGGAGATAGAATTGGAATGTGTCATTTTTGATAAGGTAAGGTGCTGCGGCATGTGAGCGCGAGCGTCTTGAGTGTGTGCGCCTGCATGCGTGCAAATGAATAGATGCTCCGACCCACTGTGCTTTTGAAAATCCAAAGGTAGGTGCCGCTCGATCCCTCGCCCTGCATGACGCTGATGAATACACTGATTGGTGCACATGAAGACAGGCCCGACTGCGGCAGTCTATTGTGCTCTTTGATTGGGCGAGAGAAGACATGATGATGGCTGTCCCCCACTGCGAGTGGCCCTGTGTATTTTGGGGGAATGTGCTTTTTAATAAAAAAATTTAATTTTAGGAGAAGAATAGAAGCTTTATGATGTCTCAACCGATTTATCATGCTCGTTATCCCCATTACAACAAGTGTCTGTCTATTGTTTTATCATCCAAAAGGTAAAAAAGGCGATAAGGCTTTTGTCCATGCCTATGAGCGTGTCTTAGCAAAATATCAAATTAACAACTGGACAAAGTTTCATGAAACTTGCATAGAGTAATAATTAAATGTATGTATAGAACCGATTAACTTTTATAGGCAAATAAATTAAAGATGGCTGCTACACCCAACTGACTTAAAAATATATAAAAATAGCTATAATTCAGTCAATTTTACAAATATTGTGCTAAAATTTGGTGTGCTTGCAGCTGAGAGCCAGTCACAATACATAATGCTGTTGCCTAAACCAGGGGTCTGCAACCTTTATGATCAAAAGATTAATTTCTGCCCGTTTGCACACTAAATAAAATGTCTATGGAGCCGCAAAACCTGCTAAAACTGTGATTGTCAACTGGTGGCCCATGGCCCACTTCAAGCCTGTTGGAGTAAAGTATCATAAAGTATCCTATTATGAATTAATAAAGTTAACATTAGGCCGGTTTGTTGGATACGTAATGAATTATAAATTGAAAATAAATACTTTCATTTACTTTGTTTTTGTCTTTAATTTTTATTGTTATCAAGTTGACACCATATTTCTTCTCAGCAACTTGCCTTAAAGGTATTTCCCCAAAACATTTGGTGGATTTGAGAAACAGATCACACCGTAAGACTGGAAGTGAGCTAAAAGAAGTGGCTAACAAACTACTAGCATGATGTAGACAACAAGTTTTACTCCTTGTGTTAGTAACATTCACATATTGTCAAAAGACATGACTGGAAAACTGTTAAAACTAGCCATTTCTTGTTGGTACAGCAACCAATAAACTTCGGTTTTATGTTAGTTTTGGTCAAAACTTAGAGCCGCTGCAGAGGAACCAAAGAGCCGCATGTGGCTCCAGAGCCGCAGTTGCAGAACCCAGGCATAAACTATTTAATTAAAGTCAACTTTGTTGATCAGTGGCGCCCCCAGAAATTATTTAATTGGGGAGCTATGTGGGGGCCACAGAAAATCCTGTGGTTGTAAAATGGTGATTTGAAAACTTTGGCAATATAAGAGTTAAGGAATTGCCAACTAATATGCTTCAGTTTTTTTTTATTTTACAGGAAATATTACCATACTAAATATGTAATGTGAAGAGAGGACAGATGTAATTTGTAGTTCCACAACAGTTGTAATGTGTTATGTATCTTTACAGACAAGTGAAGCTGTAAACTGTCCTTACAGTGGACTTTTTGTCCTTTTTCATAAAAAAAAAGTCAAATATACAGCTTTAATTTGAAGGTGTATTGACAAAAACATTTGCTGGAAACAAACTTTCACATTTTAAGCTGCCTCTTCTTTGAATCATTTTTAAATAATTTGCTTTATATAATTTCACTTTATTTTTAAATTTACAGTAGACATTACTTATTGAAGAGCACCACTTAACTTATAGAAGCTCGTCTTCTCTTTAATTTTTTTTAATAAAAAAATATTGTGTATGTAAACTCTAGATCCTACATCTTAATGATGAGGACATTGGGTTTAGACTGGTTGTCCTCATTCCAGATGAGATTTTAAGTTTATTTTTTAAATTCAGGTAAAAATATATTATTTTCACTCCCAATTGCTCAAAAACAACAATTGTTTTTCTGTGTATGTAGTTCCGCTAATCTAAATAGCTGGAGGAAATTTAAAATGGACATAAAGCAAAAGCTTGGGAAAAAGAGAACTATCGAGCCAAGAGGGGCCAGTTGGTGTGGCACCGTTTGTCTGTTAGCAAAATATCTCATTAACTACTGGATCGATTTTAACAAAACATTTAGAAAATAATCACTGGGGGAACATCTACAACTCATTAACCTTTGGAGTTGGTCCAATTCAAGACGCTAATCCACATTTGCCAACACAAAAATGAGCACAATTCTTCCAGTTTTACAGATATTATGCTAAATCATGGTGTGGTTGTAGCTGAGAGTCATGCATAACACATACTCTGAGCAATATCGCATGAGACTGCATAAAAGGGTTCAATGAAAACTCTTATCATTTCTCAGAAAAAGATGATTATAGAATAAATTTCAGGCTTGAAAGGCGGCAGGGATTCCTTCAAGGAATGATAAACCTTTATCTGATTTTTTTTGCCATGTTTTGATAGGTATAAATAAGCCCAGCTTGCTTGTTTCTGTCCTAAAATGTCCTCTATGAATCATCCAGGTGGCAGTAAAATTTTAATTGCCAAACCTGGCTCAAGTTCAGCATTTTAAATCACCATCTTTAGTGCTGACATGCATTAGCATATGTTTCCAGCCTTATTACACAATGCATTCAGTGTCGTCGTGTGTAGCTGAGGCCGTTACTATTAGGTGTGTTTGTATAGTGATAGGGTAACTTTTTCTATTTACCTCTGAAGGTTTCACACACTCCAAAAAGCTGTGTGTGTTTGTGAAAGTGTGTTTTTGTTCTGCATACTGAGATGTAAAGGCTGTCAAATGGTGCAGACGAAGCCTAGCTTAGGTTAGTTCAGTGCAAAGAGGCTTTTTGAGGAGCTGCAATGAGTTCCTTTGAGGGGGTGGACTGCGTGTCTTGAAAAGATATATGGTTTTGTGTGTGTGTGTGTGTGTGTGGGCTGGAGAAATTGAGGAAAATAGACCGAGCCTGTGAGAGAAGACCTAAAGAAATGAACGATGGAGGGAGGGGGAAAGAGGAAGCAAAAAGGGAGAGATAAAGTGAGTCTCTTCTGTGATGTAGAGCAAGCGGCTGTATCTGCAAAGCAACAGCAGCGCTCCCGTCTGCCCCCCCAGCCCAGCCATTCTCCAAAAGGGGACGGCAGTCTTGATGGGGAGTCGTGGACCCCCCCCCCCCCCCCCAAACCTCCCCTCTATAAAACACAGTTATCATTCTCTCTGGAAATGATAGCCACAGATCACTAATCACTTTGAGTGGGTGAAACGCACAAATTGTGGTAGGAAGGAAGAAAGAAAAGAGGGAGCCAAATTGGATTTTCATAAGTATCGAGCAGCCAAAGGAAGAAGAGGAAATGGATTTTTTTGGGAGTTGGGAGTATTGAGAAGCTATAATCTGGATGGAAAATGTGCTTAAAGCCAAGTAGCAGATTTTGCCTTTTTCTCCTCTTTCTGTTTGGTGAAAAAAAAACCATGAAGGGTCCTGGGTGAATGAAGGATTGCAGATTCTGAGTTGAACTGAGAAGTAGCTGTGAGGTGGAACTGGCGGCCATGTTCACTTCTGAAAGGTGAAGTTGGGCGATAATGTTTTTGTCCATGTTTGAGTGAATGCTATGAAAACATCTCATGGACCCGTGGATGAATATTAGGAAAACATGTGTGAAGTAGTCACTGGATGCACAGATACAACAGATTATCTTTTGAAGTTAAATCAATTTAAAACAGCTGCCACAATCCACCAATATTAAAAACTCTTAAATTTGTTTTTAACTCTGGCAACTTGACAGATACTGACCTAAAATTTGGTGTGGTAGTATCCGAGACTGATCCCTAACACACATTTTGATCGCTAACAGATTGCATAAGATT